AAAATTATATAATACATACACGTGATGACTATGCGATTCTCGCCAATAATTAGAAGAAGAAGGGAAATATTTTACGCAGAGTGAGGCCGGGATAGACCACTTTTTGAAAAAAACATTGTGTAGCTGTTGTTTCCAGATTCTCGTTATTCTAGGGAAATTTAAGTAACGTGTTATCCAGGAAGCCAAATAAATCGTATTTTGCGACAAATTCGAATTATTTATTTTTACTTTCGATGAAGAGCATCGCAACTAGCCCCATCCGCACGTTCGTGTTGGATCGTTCGCTCGAAAAAACTAACAAGATATATCGTTTATAGAAATATAATGAACGAAGAAATTAGCTGCAAATAGATCGGAAACATTCTCGTAATCAAAGCATCTGTTAGATACATATTTAAACAGAGATTTTGAATTCATTTCCTTCGTATTTTTTTAAGCAATTACCTATCATTTTTTTCTTTCATAAATCGTACATACTTTCTTCTCGTTAATTTTCTAACAATATATTCCCTTTCATTTCATCTCGAATCAACGTGATCGAACTATACTAAAAATCACTGGAAGCGATCATCTTGTTAACATGGAATATAAAAAATAAATACACGCGATTGTTAAAGTTGTATGCGGATTGTGTTGATTGCCAATTCTCGAACTAAACTTGCCCGTCTTTCGTATCTCGTTAAAATTGCAACGCGCAAAGTTTTCAGATCTGTTGAGAAAGTTCGAAGCGCGTAATTTATAACTTGAATACGCTTTCGTGACAATTGTCGACGGAATGATTTATTTGTTTCACTTCAACGAGGCGCAGGAGACCCTCTTCTGTTTTAATTTTGAAATATTACAATTATCACTGTGAATATCAATTGAAACATTAACATGATTGACTGAATTATCCCGGGCTTATTCTTACACTTGTTATTATTACATCAAATAAATACAATTTAAGATCCTTATTGTTGAAATTTCAGAGAAAGCGAAAACACGGGGGAAAGTTTATTTCGAGAGTGGCGCAACGAAGGAGTTAACGTATAAAATTATTTATAGCAAAGGCAATATTTTTAAATATCTCGATTTAACACTAAACGTACCGGCATTTTACATATACCTATGTTACCATAAGCGATCAAATGACCCCTCGCGGCATGCAGAGAATTTTTCTCGGTAAAAAGTAAGCTAAGAGAAAAAACAGAAAACGAGAAATTGAATAATCAGATAATATAAGAGCTAAGAGAAGAACAGAAAACGAGAAATTGAATAATCAGATAATATAAGAAATTTACAAAAAGGCAGATTAGCGAAAGGAATAACAACGAATGTACGATTTCAAAGTAAACTTTGAAAATGGGCCATTTGACCTCGCTTAGTACGTTTAGTGTTAAGTGACATTTTCAAAATAAACTCACGTTGATGGATAAGGCATACGATTTAAATCTCTACTAATTGACACGACGTATTTCGAATTAATTCGAATGAAAATCGGTCCTCGCAGAACCAATTTTTGCAGACGTCCCTTGAAAAGTCAGATCTTTGTGTTCTTATTCTCTTGAGGAGTGATCTTCGCCTCGCGATATGCGAGGAACGTCGAAAACGACGAATCGGCGAAAAACTTTCGTTCGTCTTGTTGATAGAAACGTCTTTGTTTACACTCACTCTCAAGTTCCCGCTTGCGAAATAATGAAATTCAGACAGAGAGCGCGAAATTCAAATTCAGCCTTGAACGCGAGATTTTCAGGTACGAGTCAAGCACAATTAATTCACGTTCGTGGAGATCTCGAGTTCTGTTTATAATAATGATGAGAATAACAATTCGGAGATCCGGGGGAATATTTTCAGGAAGGAAATGTGAGAAACTTTTTAATTTGCTGGGAATTAAAGTATCTGTTCACACAGGATTCTCAAAACTAATGTTTCCAGCTCTTTGCAGCATATTTACACATGCTTACGACGTGATTAAATAGATTTCATCAAGAGCTTTTAGCATGCGTTTGCATGCATTAACGAACCTCTTGAATTATTTACAAGCAACGTACAGTCGCAGTAGTCATTAACAGAACGCGAAAGATATTGGACCGCGTGGGCGCACATAAATTACGTCATTTTGCCAAATTATGTGCGAGAGAAGTACTCGTATCGATAGACAACGTTGGAGAATCCCTGCGAGAGCAATAGCATTTATCATAGTTGGAGAAGACGAGTCTGAAAACGATGACGACCTTGTAAAATGTTTCTGGATGTCCTTCAGAATGCAAAAGTTTCGAATCCGGAGGAAATGAAAATTTGAAGAATTGTTTAATGTTTCAATTCATTTTTACTGTTGTTATTATTACTCGATTGTCACTATTTTTTTTTTTTTAATAGTTCTTGATGTCATTTAAAATGTTTCAGACTCTTGAAAGTACCAAAATTTCGAATTCAATGAAAAT